GCTGCCTCGTCAGCGTGGGGGAGGGGGCATCCACCGAGCATTGCGTACTGATGGAAGGAGTGCAGGTATGTGACGTCACATATGAGACCACAGATTTCAGGCGACCCCCACTTCCCGTTGCGCCATCCATGTCACACTGCTCCCTTCTAAATGTTGTTCGTCCCAAACAGCCTAACGGTACATCGCCGTTCCTTTCTCTTCCCGTTGCTGTGCTTGCAACATCTTCTTCTTTCTTGTTCGGCTACTTCTCTTGCAGCAACTATCCTCCGTCCGTTACATCCGCTCCCTTCTTAAGACCAGCTCGTCTCAAGTGGATTCCTGTTAATTTGCCAGAAGATCAAGTTGTATCACATTCACTCCTTCACTTTCTCACATCGCACATTCACTCTTGCTCGGGAGGCCGTTGCTACTAATTTATCGGCTTCTCTTCTGTGCTTTGCTTCTTTTTTGTTTTGGAGGGGGTCGACACCTCCACAAGGACCAGTCCTTGAGCATGTCTTTCTTCGGAAGTTCCTTATGTCAGCATAACAGCACTTGAAGTGTTGTTTGCACTTGCTGACACCGTCATTCCTCCTGGTCTTTCTGCAACTGGCTGGTACGAGACCATGGCGCAACAGTGCCCATTGCTGGTTTCTATACGCTGCTATGGGCACCCCACAATGGTTGAGATTCGTCATAAGGCTGCTTGCAGAGACGGTGTAGACAACTGTCGACAGCCAATTCCTTTCTCCGGCATCCGAAGGTTCCCTGGGTAATTTCCTTCTTGAAGGTATCTCTCCTGCGTCGTGCCACTACTGCATGGCGGGACACCTTCCGGTCGGTTTGTGTTTTCTGTGCCACTTTGCACGGTGGCTAGTCCCTCCACGGATGACAACCAATCTTCCTCGGCACTCATCCTGACACTGGGTCCGTTCATTCATTTTTCACTGGTTTCGGTCCCTACACCTTTTCTTCTTCTTCGGTTCTCCGACCGGCATTACTTCAGCGTCTTCTACGGGTACCTCTCGTTGTTCAGGCACCTCAGGTTTCCTGTCCACTGAGGCCGGCTCTTCTTCTTCTAGACGTGCCTCTATTCCTTGGCAGTCTTCTTCTAGATGCGCCTCCATCGTTTCTCAGCAGGCCATCGACATTACGTCCATTTCTGGTTTGATTACAACCACCATCTCCTTGTGGCTGGTCCCCATATTTTCTCACTTGGAGGCCGTCCTTGCTTGTGTTGCTCTCATCTCCGCAGCAGTCTTTTCTCTCCAGGCGGCCATCTCTCCTCGCCAGGCTTTATAGTCGGCATCCATTTTCGCCTCAATTATTGACAGTATTTCGAATATTTGTTGATTTCTTGCTTCTCAGTTTTAGCCATCACTATTCCCTCGCTCTGCGCTTCTATTACATGGTCCTCTGCCGCTACTAAGCTGGAAGGACAGGGTCCTGCCCCTGGACTCCATAATGACACTTCTTCTGCCAGACGCACAGTCTGTCACCCTATGTCCACAGATGCATTGTAGGCGCGTAGTATGTCCAGTCCTAGAATGAACTCATTGGTGATATCTGCGACGAAAATCCACATTTTCAGTGATCGCTGCCCCAGGGTCAGGGTCCTTCCGGATGGGGAGGGTTTCTCCAGATACCGTTTACAGCGTGAAACGTTGGTCGGGCTCTCTTTCAGGCCATCTGTCGGCGATGCCTGGCCTAGACACAGTTACGTACGCTCCGGTATCTATGGTCACCATGCATGGTTTGTCACTGACCCAGCCTTGGGTAACGAGACTAGCATCGGCATTTTCCATGATTACGGTCAATGCGTGATGGAGGGAGTTTAATGCATATGCTGGCGTTCGCCTTTCTCCACCGGCCGTCGCTCGTTTCCAGATGGTTGGGCACCCTTCCTGCTCGTGGGTTCGTTGTGGCTTCTCGGTAATTCCCGTGTATACCTGCCTGGCCTATCTTCATGTTCTCGGCGCATTTCATTATTAGCCTTCCTTTCATAGGGGCAGTTATTCCCGAAGTGGACCAGTTCTCCACAACTCCAGCACCCTGACTGTCTTCCGTTTCTTCGTTGGTTGGGGGGTGATTGGTACTTCTAGTATGCCTTGGTGCTATCTCATGAGGTCTGGCTGCTACCAGTACTGCCTGCAGCTCTAGTGCTAGTCAGAGGGCCTTGCTTACTGTCTTGTCCCCTCCCAGCAGCAGCTGAATCTTTATATCGGCATCTCGTATTCTGTATACTAAGGCTTTTCCTGCCTCTCTTCCTATGTGGTATGCAGGTAGATTGGGGTAGGCACAACGAGCAAGCAGTTCAATGGCCATGGCAGTCTTGCAGGGATTCTCCAGGTTTCTGCGTACTTGTTCTTAACCGTTTGACGTGGTCATTTAAATTCCGCGGCCGCGGCTCCTGCGGTAATATATTCAGCCGGCCATTTAAATTTTGCTCGAAAATTATTTATTCATCATTGTTCTTAAATTCTATGAGATAGGAACATGAAACTTTCACTAAAATGATCTTAAATGGTGGTTTTATAACCTTACCTTATAATATG